CTGCGTGATTTTTCTTCAACTCCCTTGATTTTTCCTTGACACTGCCTGGTATTTCCTCAACTGCTTGATTTTCTTTTTCACTCTCTGATTTTTTCTCCACAACTGTCGCTCGAGGCTCGTACATCTCTTTTTATACACTGGGGGTGGCTGGGTGGTAAGTCCCTAAGAAAAGTAGCATACAGCAGTCGCGGTTTTACGACTCTCTCCTCTCATCGACATGTTGACGCCTGTTAAACACGTGCAAGGGGGCTACGCGCTTTTTGCATGCGTGAGAGAACGCTGGCTCGGATGCAGTACGGATTTTATTGCTTTTTGAGGGAAATTCTTATCGCGACACTCATCTCGGCCCTCCTCGCTATTGAGCAACTGTTCACATTTCGTGCTTGCCTTAGATGCTATACAAAAAAAAATAACCTTACGAAAAATTAAAATTTTAAAAATGGTCCGCCGTCACACAGTACTTAATTGCAATTCAACATTGTTACTTAAGATTAGGGAATCAATAATAAATTTATATGATGCAAAAATACTGAAATCTTATGATTAATTATTTGTGAACTCATCTGATTTATTATGAAACTACTATGGCTGCTAAAACACTATTTAGTTTTTTTTTATAATAGACTCATCTTAACGGCCGTAAAACGAAAATAGAAATTTTCTCAGGAAAATTTACGCAACTCCAGGCTAGTCGAAAAATTAACCTGACACTCAGAACCCAACCCAAAGAAAATCACTCTTCGAGTGACGTAATTACATGATTGCAGTCTTGTAATTACCATAATCTTGGTACGAATAATCACGTTGACGAATTTATCATTTAACAATCTGGCTTTTGGGCGCTGCTTTTCGCATTGGTTAAAGCGTATGTCATGCTATATTATTTACATGGTCTATGAAATAATTATAATTGGATTATTGATTTTGTCAATTAATCGTGCGTCCTCATAATTTTATATTATTGTCGATCAATCAATAGGACTCCATCTATAAAATGAATATGAGTCTATCGGCTTGGGGAGCTCATGTCGCGCATCAAGGTTGAGCACCGCTTCCATATAGCCACGGCGCGCCCTGGCCTGCCTCCCTAGCCGCTCCGCGCTCGCCCTGGCTTTTAAAGCCGCGCGCTGATTGGTCGATCTTTCAAGTTAATTATCTAATTACCTAATTATTGGAAAAAAAACTCTCTCTCCCGTTATCTCTCGAAGGTTATCGACGCATAATCCTATACGCATATAACGGGTCTTAATACCAGTTGGGCGCTATGTAATGGAGTGGACTAGCTGGAAGAATAAACTCCCACGATGTAGAGCTAACCGCAGCTCCGTTAATTACTTATGAGTGTGTGAGTGTGCAAAGCAGGGTGCACCTACCTTGCGGTGCAATTATGGTGATCATCCGTAATTGTTCTTCAGCAAAATTATTGGTGTTCCTGGAGAGGCTGCGCTGGTTCTCTCAGTTACCAAATTGGCTGTTGCTGCACAACAATGCTGAAGAACAGCTGAGGCTTAACAGAAAAATTGAACTCTCGCGCGCCCCCTCTTTCATTTAGTCATAACTCTTTGAGACGTTCGCTCTAGCATCGCGAGTGCTACCGAATCGCGAACGTATCGATTGATCGAATTGATTACCGTTGCAATTTATATTACAGTTGCTAGATTGAAAAATGGGATTCTTATAGTGCCTATATCATTTGATTTAATATTTACTGTACGTGAATCTATTTCATTAACAAAAAACTCTTCTGGTATATCAGAAATAATGTCACCCTCTTTTACATTTGATTCTACTAAAATATTAGTAAAATTTGCTGAAGATAAGTGAGCTTCATCGGATACACAAGTAGGAACATCAGTATTATTTTCCGTCGTAAAGAGAGAGAGAGAGAGAAAGACAGATAGATAGATAAGCTTTATTGAGCTGTGTGGTATAACCCCGTAGGCTATGAGCAAAATAAAAAGCAGATACAATAAATTAGAGCGCAGTAATAGGCAGTAAGATTATAAAACTAAATATTATTTTAAGGAGAACTTAGGTTAAGCATAATATGTAAAGATTTTGAGAGTGAAGTTTTGACGCATACATAAAAATAGAAATAATACAATATTCGCTTGAGGTAGAGAGAATAGAGCTGAATTAATTAGAGAAGGTTAGATGACGAGATGAGGTGAGGTCGCAAATCCTAGCGTACAAAATGAAGTAAAGTAAATTTAAGTAACTAGATGTGAACAGACAAACATAATACAATACAGTATACTCAAGAGAGCAGAACTAGCACTAAGTTAAATCACCAGCCAAAGAGGGTAACTGAAGCTAACGAACACGTTATACGTGGTGGTCAGGTAAATTCGATTTATGAATGAACTCATTAAGCCTCGTGAGAAGCAAAGGTGACAGTGAATGTAGACTATGGATCGAAGAGTTGAATGGAGGAAAATTGCAGATCAGGTAACGACCAAGTGATAGGAGGTACTCTGATAATGAGATGAAGACGGAAACGTTGAAAGGAAGAGGAATAGATGGTAGTTTCAGGAGCAACGGAAGATTTGTGAGGTGTTCGGCGTTAGCCCTGTGACGAAAAAGGAGCTGTTCCGTCACAATGAAAGTAGCCACACAGCGCATGAGCTCGACGTAGCGAGTAATATCAAACTCGGTGATGAATGGTATGAAGCCTGTGATGAATCTGACACAAGCATTGAAAGCTGTTTAAAGGGCCAGGGTTCTGGACATATCAGTTTTCATAAAGGCTATCGAGGCATATGCAAAATGGGGAAAGATTAGTATTTGCACCAGGTATTTCCTTGTCTCAATGGTGCGTAACTTTAATAATTACATAATTTAATTGACAATATACACAAACAGTATATTTCGAATTTTCATTTACTATATGTAGTTTACTTTTGTAACTAGAATTTTATTATCCTATTAATGTTTAACAATTATATAATTTAACTGACAATGTGTATACGATCTGAAGAGGCCGGGCAAAACACCGACGAAACATCATCAAGAAATCTGACGAAATAAAGCTTGTATTTCTCTTTTTAGGTTATCTTCAACTGTTGTTCTGTCACATTAATTTTATAGAAGCATTTATAACATTGAAATAATATCTACTAATCCTAATATACTTGTATAAGTTAAATGTATATAACATATGTTATTTAAGTTTTAGCGGGATGAAGTTAGGTACGTGTGAGAGAGAGAGAGAGTCGGACAGAGAACGAGACAGTTCAATTATCGAACGCGCAGACCGCGAGGAAGGCGCTCGGTTTCTTGACGCGACAGACTCGGTGAGTAGTTTTCGACCACAGAAGCCTTTGTCGACGAGAATTAAGGAAGAAGAATTAGGAGAGATAACGAACTGAGAAAGCGAGTGAGAGTGTTGAATGTGTGGTGTGACGGCCTTCTGTCACCAGCGCTTGCCTATTTGGGGCCTTTAACTCTGTGAACCGAGCCCCTGCTGCGAACCGACTTCTACGGGGCAGCGATTTGTAAGTACTGTTACGTACGTCGTCTCTCTCTTAATTTAGCTTCTTTCTTTTTTCCTCTCTCCTTTTTGTTCGCCGTTCTCGTATGTATTTCCTATTATTATTTATCCGCATATCACTAATAAATATCACTTTTGTTCTTTACGCGCGTTTATATTAATTCGTTCTTCCGCCTATCCTGTCGATCCTTCAATTTCGCGTCTAGGCGTGCGGGTCTAGTGCCTCGACCTGGCATTGGAGCCACCATGCCTCGACAACACCTGGTGGACAGGAGTCCCCAGCTAGTGACAAGCCGAGCCGTTTAAGCCTAACCGAGCCCGGATTCGTTTGTTTGCGTCTTCTATCATTAATTTTTATGTTAACGGGACAATGTTCCCCGTTACAAATTCAACTTTATACTGCAATCTCAAAATAAAAATTTATATTAGTTCTATTTATCAATAATTATAATATTTTTAATCAAAACGGTATTTTTTTAAATTAGACAAACTTCGATAGGCTTTGTTGTATCTCATTTCGTTAAAAAATGATCAGAATCGATATATTTACCTTTTATAAAACCTAATTGAAATGACAAAACATCTTATTATTTCTAGAAAAATAGAAACTATATATTTGAAAAAGTTTTTCTTTCGAGTACGAAAATCAAACTGTCTGTGAATGTTTTTAAATACATATATACTAGCGTGAATTCTTTTTAATATTTAGCTAGCTCGAATTAATTAGTTATTTGGACTAAGTGACAGAAATTTTGACATCTACCATTCAACTCAGAAATGCTACCTGAAATAAAAGTAATAATGCAGGTAAGAAGGAAATTCAAGAAACAAGTATGCACATAACTTAATAATCAAATCTCAATGTATATTTTAACACAAAAAAACACAAATACATATAAAAATACAAAAAAAAATCAAATCAACACTTTCTCGCCAGTTTTTCATTTGAATTAGGCCCTTGACCATCTTAACATAGTTGGTCCCTCTTCATAATTGCTGTTCGTTCAAGAAATCTTAATATTGATCCCACACCTTAAATTTGTACTAAATTTTTTTAATTTTAACCGTGTGTAGTATGGTTGATATGCTGAGCGTAATTTTTTCTGTGCCACCCTCTTCTCCTGTTCAGTTAACTACGGTAGTCGTCATTCTGAATCTTTATCCCTCTCTCTCTCAACTCTCCTCATTTATTTTCTATTTCCGTCTCGCACCCGAACATTCATCCTTGTACCACATCTTTGCCGATTCTAAAATAACCAACGAACTCGCCCGTTTATGCATAAAAACACATGTACAATTCAGACTGATCACTTTCATCGATTCGAAGAGCGATAAAAACGAAGCACAGAAATATTCGCTATCATACTTTTTCACAATTGTAAAAATCAAGGAGTAAGAAATATTTATGATTTAATAATAATTTATGATTTAATCTACTCAAATAAAAATGTACAGTTTTGAATCTTATGATCGATTATTACAAAAATTAATTGACTAAACTTCCACTTACCGGCAATTTGAAGATATCATTCAACCTATCATCAACTGATTGACCTCGCTTCGGTCGTAATAAAATATAAATCCTTTCTAATGAGTTACAACTACGTAACAGTTTTTCAATAAGAACTTTTCCCATAAATCCAGTTCCACCCGTGATAAATATACTTTTTTTATTGTAAAAGCTTTGTATGATACTCATGGATTCCATGTCTATAAAAATAAGAAACATATCGAATGATTGATTAATTATTTTCATCTAACAAAAACAAAAGTAATTGTAATTATCACAAAATTTACATTGCTAAGCAAGTGCTAGACAAATTACGTGAGCAAGAATATATCTATAATATATTGTAACGGGGAGAATGCTCCGTCTTTTTATTTCGATTATTTACTCGCACAATTGCATCGCAGAGCGTGCGGTGCTGTCGAAACGTTCAAATTCATTAATCGGAGAACAGGAGGGGACGGGAGTCAGTCAACCAACTTGCTATTAGTGAGAAATAATAATAGCAAAATTATAATCAGTATCACGTGCGAGTTAGTTTATTTTCCTATTCTCTACAATATACTTGGCCCGCGTGTTTATGTTTACAAAGCGCGCGCGCGTCAAAAACATGCAGCGTTTGAGCGATCGCAGCTCTTTATTCGCCGGGTTAGCACATGCACGCTACCGATTCTTACAAAGTACGAGGGATTAGCAATTAATTTCGCGCAGTCGCGAGATAAATAAAACAAAGTCGCGATATAAAGCTGGCCAGCTTACTTTCGTATTAGTCGCACTACTCGCAAGGGGAAAGGAGACAAGTTCGTTATCGTCAGTCCTTCACAGGAGCAGTCCGCTCTCAGTTTCGCCCTCGATGGCCAAAGTCTCCACTCACGCTCACTCACACAAACTCGCTGCCACAGCGACGAAAACAGTTCTCGTGAGTTCGGAGGCGTCACTTTTTACGACTCGGAAAATCGGCTGGCTCACTTCTTATTCCTTCCGGAATCTTTGGCGGAAAAATCTGGCTTATTGCTCAGCGGCTGGATGCTCGAATAACTTATCCACGACTGGTTCATTTATATTCGCGCGCGTTCCGTCCCGTCTCGTACCGAATTCCCTTATTCCATTTTCCCCAACCAGTAGGTGCTGCCCTTGCAGGCAGCCGCATGGTTGAGGTGATAGCGCTAATAAGACGTTTACCGTCACAATATTAAGTTGCTTTTTCTCTTTTTTCCTTTTGTATTATTATTTACTAAATAATAAAGAAATTACAGATGGGCAATTTTCTATACATTGTAACACTAAGTGGTATGAGCGAGAGGAAGAGAGAAAGAGAGAAAAAGAAGTAAGATACATGCTTTTTCTTTCTCTTCATCTTTTTCTTTCCTTATTTCTTTGTCTCACCCTTATTAGCTAGTCGCTCGCACTTCAAATACAAATCGGTCTCTAATTTTTCCTTTTTTTTTTTACTGAATACTCTCTTTCTCTACAATTTAGTATTGAATAAAAAAACGCTATACTTTATACGTTGAAAAAATAACTGGTGGAAGTACTAGTTTTCAAATATTTTGAGTATTTCATAATAGTTTATGAATTTCTTGATAAAATAAGAGTATCTGTCTCGTAGGTTGCATAGAATACTTGTGTCAGATTTGTAATATCCGTTACCACTATTATTCCCTTTCAAAATATTATTTCATATGTCACTTATCATAAACTCCGCTAAAATTGCTCTCTCTAGTAAGTGAATTCCTCGGTAAATTATACTTAAACGTACTCCATACATTAAAGTCTAATTACTTGATACATATTTTCAAAATATAGAATCCATGTTTTATAGCGAACTTTGCAGATGTGATCCTCCTAGCACTCTGTCGTATCCAGCTCCTCGCACTAAGGCTGGGAATTAATCATTCTGCGTAACTGGAACAAGGTTGATGAACTCTTTTTCAATAACTGATTTTGATATTGATCATTTTGATGAGCTTAAATTCTGACTGAGAATTCCACCTTATTCAGCAGTTAAACTTTGAAGCAGTAATTTATAATACTATTAAATCTTTAGCTGCAATAAATCAATTCAGTATATGTATAAACTTAGGTCTATTGTTAATATTAATATTATATTAGTTGGTAAGCTCTTAATATTTATCATATGTATATTTATCCTAGTGTCATTAAAAGTAATTATTTATTTCTCATAGATGCTTTATTCAAATATGTTTTAAGCGATACGTTAATTAGTTCTTACTAATTTACAACTACTATAACTCCATTGTATTTCTAACAGATGGTTTTCCATCCCATGGTGAAATAAAGATAATTCAACCCACTTTCTCTTCCTCTTACACTACGTATCATCGCAGCGGGAAAAAGAATTAATTTTTCACACTGACCTGTTATCAAAACGAGGGTGGAATATTTAATTGATTGGCTCATAACAATGTTCTCACGCCTGTGAATATCATATCTTGAAACATATTTGTGGAATTCGACAGTGGGACGAGCAATAGTTTTCATTATACCCGGCGGTGATTCGAGCACTCGCGACACTTAATTATCTCAACCTTCCGCAATCTGCAGCATTTAATTTTTTTCTGAAGTAATGCCGTTTTTTCGCATAGTTCTAATTCAAGTTATTCACCGATACGTGACTTCGTTTTCCTTAATTTTATAATTAATTTACTAACGTTTGCGAGTTGAAAACTCGAACCAAATTTTAAATAAATTTCATGCTTCAAAAACGTCTCAAGGATATCATAACTACACTTGTAAAGTGATATGTCGATAAAAAAGTATTTAGTTTTGAAGAATTAGCTACTTCGTCTGCTATACGCGGACCATTCAATTCTTCGTATGCATGATCTTACAAAATTCTTAAACGCGACGTAAAATCTTATGTAATAGAAATTGATAACAAAAAAAGTTCGCATTTCGATCGATTGCCTCAAATCCGCTTACATATTGTCAAACGACTTTGAAGAAGGCGCTGTAGTAAGCTGAAGAGAAATAAATTTATGATAATGACGATAATTACAATAATGTAAGAGTGATTTTACTGCTTCCCTAAATGTTATAGGAAATAACGTTCTCCTTCCGAAATTCGCCTCCCCTAGCTCTCCTTCCTGTATTTAATACATGGTTAGTTATCATGGTTGACTTTTTTATATGATGATATATCATATTTTATATCATATTTTTATATGAACAGGTATGATTTTTTATAACCAAACTTTTTGATTATTCAATAAATTTTGTTTAATTTAATTTGAACATTTTAGCAGTGCAAATCTTTGACTATGTAATACCGAGGTATTTCTATGGCTCGCCTGAATCCTTCGTTCGCCTAAAGTTTCTCCTAAAGTTTTTTAAAAGTTCTTCTTATACTTAGTTAATATCCTTATGTAATTTCCTGTCAGAATAACATCATTAACATACAATAGAGCTAAGATTATGATTTGTTCTATAATTTATATGAACGAACCAGGGTCATTTTCGTTAGTCGTATAGTCTAAATCTTTCATTGCTGTGTAAAACGTTTGATACCATCTTTTAGGGCTTGTTTAGAAATAAGCCGTATAGAGATTTTTCAAGTTTCTATACTTTTGTATTCCTTTCCTAATCAGTAATCGTAACTCCTTCCGAAATTTCAATATCAATCTCTTCGATCCCAACACTGTTTTAGAACGCGATTTGTACTTCGAGCTGCTAGATATTTCAATTATAATTGTTGGCAAAAACGAGTCCAGGCTCATTCTTACTAATTATTTTGAAGGGAAAGGTGCGAGAAGTTGATTCGCTCCACTGCAAATATAACGATAGGCCTCGTCACGAAGTTGGCGAACTAGGTGTCAGTTCAAGACAACGGAAATGACGGGTGCACACAGAAAGGACTCTCAATCACCCTCAATTATATTTATTTCGTTAACACATACGAAAGTAGAAACGATGCGAATTTACGCATCGTTCTATGTAGCCGCGTACCTTCTCTGAGCGGAAATTGGAAGATGGCACGGGGGCACGGTACAACAAGAGCTGAGCTTTGAGAGGTAATGAAGAAGGCTGCTGGTTGAACTGATGTTGCAGCTACTGGTAGGTCTATAACAGGCCTGAAGTCTCCGTGATGATAATCTTTCTTCGCCACTCTATATCCAGCGTCGCCCCTGTTCCTGGACCCTGCTGCTCTGCAATCGGCTATTCTAGAAATCGGTAGCTCTCTTCTCTAGAGCCCGAGTAGATAAGCTATGGCGGTTCTGGAACACTTATTGCGTCATAAAGCGCAATTTTTGTGTTCTAGAACCGCCACAGCGTTTGAACGGTGTTCCAGAACAACCATAGCTTTTTAACGTTGTTTTTTTAACCACCATAGGGTTTTCAATGAAAATAAGGATAGATATTTATAATAATTTATTTATTACATATAAAAAGCCATTACAAACTATAATTAATAATATAAAATGAAATAAATGATTATAAATTAATAATAAATTGAATAGTATAGAATACAATAAATTTAGGTGATAGGAGCTCCAACCACACTCCTATACGTCAGATTCAACCAACATAACCAAGCTCTCAGATCTTTCAAGAAAAAGAAAAAAAATTAAACGTTATTTAATAGTGTTTACATCTTCTTATAGCCAAAATTTTTGGGGAAAGAATTGGTATTAGGCAAGTATTTTTCATTATACTTTTTCGAAGTACTGTTTTCTTCCTCTTGTTTTTTCTCTCCTCCTTGATACTTGAGCTTTGTATATCCACTATTACGCTAATAGAATTGTTTCATTAATTTGACGTTATTGCTGTGATGTGAACACACTGTGACTAATTCCGCTTTTTTTACCGTTCCGTAGCCGAGATCGTCAATGTCGCGAACAGGTAATCTGAATCTCTGTAATCACTCCTTGTGTGCGGCTCCAGAGACAAATACTTTTTCGCTTTTCCGAAAGTTTCTCTCATGATTTCACAAATTGTATTGTAAGACGAGTTATCCAAACTCCAAGAGATGCCGTGAAGATAATGTTCACGCCAAAAGTTCTCTTCCCTGTATTTTTATGATTATCTTTCCTAGGAAAATTGCAGTTTAAAGAGTCGTACTATAGGTTCTACGCCGTATTCGAAAGAAATGATGACCAGCTCCTTCAGAATGAAATCGAACTGCTTGAATCTCTGCAAATCTACCACGAAGGACTTTTCAAATATGAATGGATGACTGCTCATG